CCGTAGGCCAGCAGCGCCACCCACCAGCCGCACTGGTCCCGCAGGCGCTCCTCGTAGCTGCGCAGGATGGTGAGGCCCATGCTCACCCCCACCACCGCGCCGGCCAGGTGGGCCATGAAGCTGGGCTGTGGGCCCGAGGCGGGCAGCGGCGGCGAGAAGCGGAGCCACACGGCCCGGCCCACCTCGGAGCTCACTGCAGAGGGAGCGACAGGTGGGAGGCGCCCGTCCACGGCCGGCCCCCAGCCCCGCCCCCGGCCCCCTACTCACTGCACACCAGGGCCAGCACCATCCTCAGCAGCTTGTAGGGGCACCGCATCCCGGCCCAGTTCTGACGGGGCCGCGCAGAGAGAGGGGGGCGGTGAGGAGGGTCGGGGGGGCCCCCCACGCCCCGCCCAGGGCAGCCCCATTACCATGACGACGTTGGCCAGGTGTGCCGAGCACAGGGCATAGACCCCGCCGGAGCCCCCCACCACGGGGGCCCGCATGTCAGTGATGGAGACCGTCAGGGAGCCTGTGCGGGCAAAGGGAGGGGTGAGGGTGCGGCCGGCCGGCCGCGGGGGCAGGGGCGCCCCCCCCTCACCTGCCAGCACGCCGGCCAGGTAGAGCAGGCTGATCCGAAGCAGGCCGTGCACCATCTCCAAGGGCACGCCGATCATCAGCTGCAGCAGGGCATTGAACCCCAGCTGCTCCAGCCTGGGCACAGAGGGGCGCACGGGCGTGAGGCGCGGGGCCAGCCCCCCCCACCCCGGGCTGGGCCACGGCTCTGGGGTAGGCTCACCCGACGTGCATGAACATGTAGGTGAGGAAGCGCCAGGCCCGGGCGCGGTGCCCAGGGTGGTACACCAGGGGGCTCCTCATGTACTCGGGGTGGTAGGTCTGCAGCACCCACTTGTTGAGGCGCGCTCCGTAGCACAGGAACACGATGATCTGGGGACACGGGAGTTAGGGCCGGCCGAGGCCTGGGCGGTGGGAGCCCCCGGGGCCGCGGACGGGCAGGCCCACCTGGGCAAGGGTGACCGAGGCCATGAACACGGGGGGCGGGCAGCTGCGGTGCCGGTAGAAGTACCAGCGGCGGTCCACCTCGCAGGGCAGGATCTCGTAGGCCACGTAGCGAACGAACCGCTTGTAGACGCCCAGGCCCGGCTCGTCCAGCAGGCCATCCTGGGGCAGGGCTCGCTGTCCGTTCGCAATGGCCCGCTTGAAGCTGCTGGAGCGCTTGCTGCTGACCTGGGGTGGGGGCGAGGGGGCGCGGCTGGGCCACGCGCACTCCCGCGGGGCACCCCGGCCCGGCCCG